ACATGGAAAGTGTCATTTTTGATGATTCAATAATGCATCACACCGTCTAGCCTTTTGAAAGACCATATTGTACAAGAAACTATTTTTTTATATGATTATTCATAATGAATATTTTCTTTTTTAAAAAGCACCATTTCCAGACTATTTCATTTTTAGAATTTAAAATGCACTTAATCTATCAAACCATAGATAAAAATCTAGAAGTTAAAATGTAATAAAATAAATCCATCAAACCATAGATAAAAATCTAGAGTTAAAATGTAATAAAATAATCATAAAATCTCCAGATACAAATTTCACTAGTGGACATCATTTTCCAAAATTGCGGGCTCAAGATAAAAGAAGTGACACTGCCTATGAATGTCAACTGTATAGTGTCAATCTCTGCTTTGATATGTGCTTTGCAATTTTTCACATACTTGAAGTGTTAATTACAACAATAATTTGTGAAACATTTTATGTTAAATGTAAATATTTATTTTTTCTATGTTTTAATAGTTTGCATCAATAACCTACAGTTAATTTAGGTATTTTTCAAGTAAAATACGCTTTGTTAATGCAAAGGGCATTAGTCCAGAAGTGCTATTAATTTCATTTTGGAATTTTGGATCGGAAACTTTAAATGCCTGTTTTACTTTTAAATTGTTGCCACAAAATATTATCTCCCTGTGTTATATTTAAAGGCATTAAATAATGAAGAATCTGCATAAATGTATGTATGTTTCTCGCATTGTGATAAAACAACAGTACCTAGAGCCACCAAATTTTTAATAACTCAAACCTCCACCGAATACGGGTATCTGGAAGTCCTAGTCTGGAATTTGTTTTATGTATACGTATATGGGACAGGTGTCCCATATACGCATTTCCTAAGAACGTCTTTTACAGCCAGGCATCACTAGAGATTGCATTCAAAGAACGGGGGATGAGTATATGCATTTTAAGCTGGAACGTTTTTCTGAAGACCATTAGATGGCATCCTATGTCCATTACCTTTGAAATGAATACAGTTTTAGGTTCCTGACCTTGAGTTTGATATATTCTGCCTGACTTTGGTATTTTATTCATCAACTGTTGCGAGGGTGGTGGTGAGGATGGAAAGCGTAAACAGAGGTGGGTTCTTTAAATCGCAGTGTGCTAATATAAACATTCGTATGTCCGATTTATATCCAATTCCTTTTTTTTATTCTATTTTTTTCCCTCTACTATGTACAGTCTTTTAGGGTTACTGTGTGGAATTCTGTTACGTTTTGCTTTGCCTTCAGATATATTTCCGTTTCTTCTCTTTTTATTTCGGAAAGCCTCACCTCCAGTCTATTATGGTGGGAAGGTGCTGTTTATCAGAGGAAGAATACCCTTGTATGGTTAATGAACTATTTACTAACACAGATGAGAGTGATGATTCATTTTCTCAAGTTAGTTAGAAAGTGATACTTTTTCTAAGAGTTAGAAAGTGATACTTCTCTGTGCTTCAAGATTTAGCACACTCAGTCGTCATTTTAAATTTTTTTACTTCTTACTGTAAATAGTTTTTATTGTGTTGTTTTATTAATTTTAAACTTTATTGATGAATTTTATCAATTAAAACTTCGGAATAATTTGAATAGCGCTTCTGAAAATTATTTTACAAGATAAGCAATTTTTTAAGTATATTTTCAAGTAAAATACAGAAAAAAAAAAAGGTTATTAAGAGCTAATTTTAACATATATAAGAGTTCAAGTAATAATCTAAAATGATACGAAAAATTACTATGCTAGAAGTGAGACTTGTTTTTTCTGATTTTTTTAATAAAATTAGGCTTAGTGATGCAAAACCCCTGTCCTGTACAGTGACTGCCTTCAATTCCCTTCCGTCTCGCACGAGCATCTTAAACAAAGGGCAATCATGAAAGGGTTAAAAACAAACTTGTAATTTCGTCTGCTGGGATTGTTCCTTTTTGCTTAAATTCAAAGCATAATGTCTGACCCCAAATGATACACTTTATAGAACTAAAGCACATTCTTATCAAAATTTCCCCCTTCCAAAGCTTTTTTATCTTGATTATTACTACTCTCTTCTCATCGAAAGACAAAGCACTCTTCCTACAATCTTGAATGTTCAGAGTTCTATCACAAAAAATCAGCATTCTTTTGGGCATTAAAGCTTTTGATGGGCACGGCTATGGAAGGGTCGAGGGCTTGACTACCGCTCTGACTCATATGTGATATTCATTCATGCGCTCAGTAAAGAAGTGAAGAAGTGCATTTGTTTCCTCAAATATCCTGCATTTGACGAATGGCATGCTGCCTGCCGTTTCTTTGCAATGTTACTGTCATTCCGGCAAACATTTAATGGAACAGATTGTTCTTTATATAATCACAAAAATATTACAGATACTCAAACATGTAAAAACATAAATCACTTAGCATAATTTTACATGTCGCCTCGCCACTCTTTACCCGTTTTCAAATAAAATCGCACATTGTGTCTTTTTTGATGCCAGGACCATGTAACTTAGAAAATACCCTAATATCTTTTATTTTTTTTTTCAAAATGCAATGGAAAAAAACAGATCTTCTATCTTTCTTTACAAAAATTAAATCAGCTTATCGAGAATTAATTTGGTTTACATAAAATCAAGACAAAATTCTTATGACTGTTCTGTGACATCATGCTTAATCATTTCTCGTGCTAAATCATACTGTTTGCTGAAAATGTACACTGCGCAAAAAAAAGGGGGGGACAGTTTTGCATCTCCCGTCCTACTGGGCCGATTGACGAAATTGCGTTTTTCATGTCTCGAAAGCATGACTTAAGATATGTATTAATTTATATATAGCATTGTTCTAATATACGTATTTTGACACAAAATCGGACCTTTTCTGAAATAACATATAAATTTTTCCCATATTTCGATTCTACGACTCAAATTACGGCAAACTTCCAAGTTTTGTAAAAATCGCACGAGCAGTTTAAAAAAAAATTAATGTTAATTGAGTTTGGTATATATTTATTAATCTCTCTTTTTTTATTAAACTTATTTGATTCCTCTTTTCACATTTCGTAATTTAGGTTCATTCCAAGTAAAACTGACCCCTTTTTTACGATTTATTTTTAAAATTTGTATTTTTAAATAACTTAATTTACAGATTATAATTCATTTTACAGATTATAATTCAAAATTTTTTTTAGATAAATTTCTCTAAAAAAAATTTTGAATTATAATCTGTAAAATTTTTACCATCATCTTAAAGTACTGCAAAAAATTACAGTTTTTTATTTAAAATTTCCGAAGATATACATGAATTTATATATTGGCATGTTTTGAAATTTGTCATATTTGTTGAAAATGATAAAACATCAAATAAGGTTTAGAAACTTTGCTAAAATTATTTGGAAGTAGAAAATGCAGTGACTTTTCCCCCACTCTTGCACAATGTGAAAAGGTAGGAACGAGGTGTAAAATTAATTTTATAGCGAAATCTGATGCATATTCTGAGAATTTTGAATATTCTGAGACAATTACATTTTAAAAACTCTTACTATGAAAAAATTAAAAAGAAGACATTTTTAGTTAATTACATAGGTAATTTAGCTTTTGCTAAGAGCTGTTTTGTAAATTGTGCTTTATAGCATCATACCTTGTTTATTTTTCAGATTCAAAATATTGCATAATAAAAGTTGCCAAAATGAAACTTTATAATATGAGAGCAAAAAATAAAAATGTTTGATTTTAATGCTATTTTTTAAATATTTCAATTTATTACCATTATTTTAATGAAATTTATCAATGTTACAATGTTTTAAAAAAACTGTCAAAAAATTCTCAGATCTCGGAATTAAACATTTTCTACAGAAATTGATCTTAAAATCACCAAAATGTTGATAAGTTGCCAAATTTAGAACCGTTTAATAAAAGAATTCACATCCCCAAATGTGAAAAGTTGTTTAAGAGCTCTTTATTAGAAAAAATGAATTTCGAAATGCTTGTGTTTCACTTCTTGCTTAGAAACTCAAGCATCCCATCATTTATATTAGAAATAGAAACAAACTCATTCAAAAGATAACCATATATGTCAGTGAATCGCCAAAAATATTCCTCCAATGCTAATTCACACTCAAAATGGCAGTCGTAAAAACAAACAGAAATTTCAGATGATTAAAATTAAGGACCTTCTGCTGATTTTGGCCAAAATTAAGAACTTTTAAGGACCAAAAATAGATTCCAAAAAATCTAAGGACTTTTAAGGACTCTTAAGGACAGTACAAACTCTGAATTAGTTATACTCTAGCTTAAAACAAATAAACATTTGAATAGGTTCTGCTGATCACAAAAAATTAACCTCTTGAGAACAGCCATTTATTTTTTTTAATGGAATCAGATTGGATTATTTGGACTGAAAATTACCATGTACAACTACTATATAACCTACCTCCACCTCAGTTTTAATGGAAGGGCCCCCAAGAGATGAAATCGAGGCCTTTAGGCCACTATCACATATCTATTTTGGATGAACAACTGCTTCAGTTCTTCTACTGGCTTTAGTATTGCAAGAATGATGTATCCCCTTCCATTGTGTAAAAGGCTGTAGATTATACATTTTTACCCAAATAACACAGAACTAAAGAGCTTGTATGGGAGTTCTCAGACTCTGGGTTTGTAATGGAGAACCAGTTTTCTGTATTGTACTAAACAGTTGTTCCTCTAAAATATTTTGAATGTGTGATATGGTTTTTACTTCTCCTACCACTAATATCTCTAGAATTTTTTGATTGGTTAGGATCCTAAAAAGGGGGGGGGAGTCAAGTTTCTAAAATAAGAGCAAAGAATATAAGCAAAAATGCAGGCATATTGATAATAGTGTCAAATGTTTATAATATCTATGCATATTTGTAATATATAGATTTCTTTACTTTATACAAATGCAGTAAACATGCATGAATTTGCTCCACAAGCAACAGGGAAGTCTTTTTACTAAGAAAAAAAAAAAAAAAAAAAAAAAAAAAAAAAAAAACTTACCTGGCCAAGAGGGTTTCCTGAAGACAGAAACAATACAGAATCTAATTCTAACTGTTGCGTATCTTCCAATGCTTTAACTATGACTGCAAGAAAACAAAAATTTGAATCAGACTTTTCATCTTAAATTTAAAAATTACATGAAAAAAAATAGTACTAAGATTTCTACATTATTACTGTATTTTATTATAAAACATAATTAAATCCAACCCATTAGCAGATTCTCATAGGTTTAAGATTTTTATCCTTTATCAGGGTGTATCTGCTAAATTGGGAATGTACTGATTTTCTACTTTAACAGGAACTGTCCATTAATGACAGTTCTGTTGAAGATTCAGGAAATGTCCATTAATGATGATTTGCTATACTACAAAACCACATGAAATATAAATCACTTTAATAATAACTTATTATATGATGAACATCCAAAAATGAAAACAACTTAAAAACATGAAGCTTTTGAAACCTCCTTTCAGAGTACCAATGTTATTAATAATTTTACTCACACTTATTTTTAAACATTTTTCTTGTTGAATTTTATTTGCATAGATCTTGTTCTAAATATCAAAACACAGACTTTAATTTTTTTTAATAATACATTCTTTTATCTCTAATTTAAGCCTTGCTTGTTGTAAAACAAATATCATCAAAATATTCCTTCTAACAACATTGATGTTTGAATGGGTTGTAAAAAACTGATGTTTGATTGAAAACCTTACCAACATTAATTCTGCAAAATTCTGAATTATTTAATCCCACAATAAATGCAAACTCAGTTACTCATAATATACAACATTGCATTGAAACTTAAGGCCCCACTGTCTATTCAAAGGTTAGACAATTATCACTTGAAAAATTAGTAGTTTTAAAAAAGGAATTCAAGGCTCTAATGGAACACGAAATCATTTAGCCTTCAAAAAGTTCTTAAGCTAGTCCTATATATTTTGTTAAAAGACAAAATGGTAATTGGAGGAAATTGTGTTGCAAGTGGAAAAGTTACGATTTCAGGAAATTGACTTATTACTTTATGTAATTTTCAGTAAAATACATATTGTCAAGGCTTAATATTCATATTCCAATACAAAAATCTGCTGCAGACAGAAAAGACAGTAGGAATCACTCCCACTGGATTATATGAGTATATAAACATGACATTTGGGTTAAGAAAAGCAGCTCAAATATTTCAAAGATTCACTGATAACATTTTATGAGGTTTAGATTGCTGTTGTGCTTATCTCGATGATGTATTCAAAGTATAAGAAGATGAAAACATATACAAAGCCGATTTAGAAAAGGTATTAGAGCTGTGATTTAAAGTTAATTACGCAAAATGTGTTTTAGGACAAAAATCCCATTATCAGAAAAGATTAATGCTCTAAGCAAATACCCACAACCCAAGACTGTACAGGATCTAAGGCGATTCCTTACATTGTTTAATTTCAACTATTGTCATATATGAGATGCAAGCTTGTCTCTATGATTTGATAAAAGGTAAAGTTCAAAAGGACCCAGAAATTGCATGGGATGATAAAAATGTAAGATACCTTTAGCATCTGCAAGCAATTATTAGCCAAAGCTAATAGGCACATCCTGTTCAAAAAGAAAACATATATTACCAATGCTTCAGAAACAGCTATTAGTACTACAGCATGTTGGTGATATGGTTGAACTCTTATGATTTTATTCTAGGTAATTAATACCTTGTGAATGTAAGTACAGTACTTATGATAGAGAGTTTTTGGCGATACATTCAGCAATTAAATTTTTTCAGCACACAATCAAAGGTCAAGATTCGTGGTATTCACTAATCGCAAACCTTCGACTATGTGATGATCCTCATTTTTGATGGAACGTCCGTTTTAAATTAGAGGACTTCCTGTTTTCAAGAGAACTAATCTCCAGGTAATTAACAATGGAAGTACATTAAGGATATTCTCTAATACGGTTTCCTTTCGAATTACACCCAGTGTCCGCTAAATGACCAGAAAATAATACAACAAAGGAAACTCGTAAAGACAATCTTTGCTAAATTAACATAAAAGGAAAGGAATAGATTTTGAGTGAGAATTATGCTTAGAGAAATGCTGAAGGTAAGTCGCACAAAGGCGACTGACTCTCTGATCAGCGATGCGGAAGATTTGTATGTTATGGCTGTACTGTAATGATGTTTTACTTTTATTTAATCCAGAAATTTTGTTAAGTTTTAAAATAAATGTTTAAAACACTGCTGGTCTGATTATCCATCCATCTCAGACAGTCTTACGCTACAACTGGCCCTACAACAAAAACATGATAAAGCAACACTTCATCTAATTCATCATTTAGAATTTATATCACAATTTACTACCAATTTGAGATATGTTTCTGGAAGTAATAAGCAGCAGCAGAGCTTTCTTGAGAATTTCAGAGATTCAATCACCTCAAGATAAAATGGCTTGAGACTTGAGATAAATAAGTGTAATAAGTATGTACAAGTTGGGAAAATATAAACTGATAATAAATTAACACCTAAATATTGTGTAACTGAAATAACATAGGCATATGTATATGTACATATATTCTAGTGAGGGAATGATAAGATAAAAACTGCTGTCACACATTAGCAGATAAGTTTCAGGACACTGATATATATATAGGCATGGTAATGCTGATATTGTTAATGTGCAATACATATATGAAAATGTTAATACCATGAGTTGCTAGCTACTGAGCTAACCTGAAGAAAACATGCAAGAGAAAAGAAAATATGCAAACATAGTTCTATGCAAGTACCGAAAATTTGGAAGGCAGCATGACATAAACCACTGCACCACAGCAGGAATTATATCATGGCTTCGAATTATTAGAAATCAAAAATTGAAACTTGATGCATTCCTTAATACATTTAATGGCATACAGATTATTACCAAGCATAGCAGTGATCATTAGGTGGTTTCCAAAGGTGAAATTTAGCTGTTTCTGGGCAATCAAAGAAGCAATAATCCGAGTCGCAATGATAATACAAAAGCATTGATCACTGTCAAGAAATCCGAAGCCATTTAAATAACTTATATAAGGGTCATGACCTGTGAGGAATTAAGTTAACTCTTGAATTTCACACTAACTCTAAGGATGTATTTGAACACTCTTCTTCCCATGGGGTTCTCATTCCAGCTATTCTGCCACTGTTCCATGAGCTGAGAATTTATTACAGAATTCATATGTGAGCTTGGGGCAAGCATGAAGAAAATTCTATTGTTTGGGTTCATAGCTGCCTGTTTTGCTTTTTCATTGGCTCTTTCATTACTGAAAACCATAGTATGTGCACGAACCTATTTGAGTTTCGGTCTCATGTTCCCCAGCATGGAGATCATCTCTTTCACTATTAGGATTTTGCATTGTTGACTCTGGATGGCATGGAAACTAGAGGCTGAATCATTGCTAAGGGCTGTTCTGTCTGGATGCAGAATTGTACAGCTGCTCTGAGAGCAACTAGCTCAGCTTGAAAGACTGAGTTATCAGGACTTTCATGAAGTATACTAGGTTTTAGTTTATCTGGTAATTAACAGTTTACACGTTGCAACACAGATGTTTATGTTTGGATAATTCTTCCATGCATAGCTCTATATTCTCAAATGCATTTGCATGGCGTCCAGCACAGGAATTCCCCCGATTTCAAAATTAAAGATCTTGAAAACAAAGATCAATACAGGAATACAATAAGTGGCATAATTATCATGAAGCTGTTATATTTTAATACATAAGTTAAAAAGTTGCCAACAGATGCATAAAAAATTCGCCCTCAGTCCACTACTCACAGAACAGAGATGAAGCAAATAGACAATAAAATTCACTATCATATCCTGTAGTGTCTCAATGGAAATGGATTCAGATACCACACAGATCAATGAGTCAAGCTCATTCAGCATTGTGGGATGCTTCTGGTAAACAGCGTCTTTCAATAAGCCACACAGAGATTAGTCATAAGGAATTAGATCAGGAAAATATAGAGACCAATCCATGCTGCATCAGTAAATTTGGAATAATCCAATGAAATAGCTCTATTCACACTTCATCATGAAAGTGAAACAACAGTTCGGTGCAGTGTGGTCGAGCTGCATATTGCTTAAATGCTAGGTCAATCCTCCAACACTAACTGTTGTGGTGACAAATTGTTCTAATATTGCAGTGCAACATTCACTGGTGATAGTTTCTTGCATGAAAAAGGGTTGATAATGCCTCTACTTACCACAGACCAAAATATAACTTTGGGAGAATGCAGCAGTTTTGCTTAACCGTTTGACCGCTACGCGGCGCAAAAGCGCTGCGTTCATTTGTCTCGAAAATCACGACGCAGCGCTAAGTGTGTCTTTGTTACTCCGTGAGTGTGAACGTAGTCTGACCTCCCGCGTACTTTGTAACATGAATGTATTCTAAAATAACTAACTGCATTGCGATTTTCGAGACAAATGAACACAGCGCTTTTGCACCGCATAGCAGTCAAACGGTTAAAACAAATAGGGATTTTTGGAACCCCCACATCTTCAGTTTGTTTATTTATGAATCCACTCAGGTGAAAGTGTGTTTCATATGCGAACTAGATACAGCTAAACTCAAATCCTCCACTATCAATCATTGTAAGAACTGACCAAAAATTTGGAAAGCTGCAGTGTAAAAATGCTTGAAAGATGCAGTGTAAAAATTAAATCATCCCTATTTCAGTAAATATTCCAGAAAGTAAAAACCCATTCTGATTAACAATATTACCTCTAGCAGATCTCTTTTGCTAATGCCATGATAAAAGACAAAAGAAAAATTAAAATATTCTCCCTCTCTGTTTTTTTCTTTTTTTTAATTACTTTCCCCATAGGAATCAAAAGCAATGAAGATCATCAGACAATAAGTTCTGCAAATGATATTTGAAAAAGTTCAGACATTGGAGGAGGTTGAAATTCCAATACTTTTTTCTTCTGTTTTAAGACGTACATAAAATTTGGTAGATACCACATCTTTAAATTGTTAAAAAGCTACTGTTCAAAACATAATAATTTCAACAGAAATTTCTTTGATGTTGATATGCTTTTACTAGAAATTTCTGCTTTTCTAAAGTCAGATGTATCTATATTCTTAAGACTATTTCTTTTCATCTCTTTTTCACTCAAGATATGTACAGTTTTCAAAATAAATAATAAAAAAAAAAAAAAAAAAAAAAAAAAAAAAAAAAAAAAATTGCAGAAATGTTGAAATTTACAGATGCTTGTCTTTAGATAGAAAACAGACTAGAAAGAAGATGTAATATTACATAATTATTTGAAATATGAAAATTCCTGCAGAGTTCTTGGTATTTGTTTCTTGATTTGCACACAGAATTTTTGGTATTGTAGAGAATTTAATGTTGCAAGTTTTCAATATTTGGTTTTTGACTTGCATGCAGAGTTTTCAGTTTGTACTATTCAAAATGCAAACTGATGCTTATACAGTTATATAAATAGCTGTTTATGCAAAGATATTTTCGTAAATTATAATTTTAAGAAACAATTAAAATATTTTTTTAAAACAATTTGCATTTTTAAGAACCTGATTATTTTTATTTACACTGTTGTCTGCTCAGCATAAGACAGAATTTTATTATGCAATCATATGGGCCGAAAGAGCAATGAAAAAAGTAAAATATATTGAAATAACTGATTCACAATGAATTCATGCATTTCCTTAAATAAATTAATGTATATTTTATCCTTAATTACTCAACGCATTATTTATTTATAAAAGAATATTTAAAATTCATACCTAACTTGTCAACAACAGCATGTACTATGCCAATCTTTTTCATTCCTTTTTCAATTTTTGATATATCCAGATTTTCTATGGGTGGCATATCCTGAATCATAACAAATGAAACTAATAAAATATAAAGTAGCAACAAAAGATTTAACTATACAAATAATCAGAAATACAAAATGTTTCCCTCGAATACCAGAATTATCATTTCATACAATCAAAATTCTTTGATTTAAAGTATCATATCCTTCTTTATGTCAGATTAAATTAGGTAAATAAAGCTATACAGAAGAAGGAAAAAAATAATAATATTTGCATTCCTGTTTAAGGAGTAAATTTACAATATGGTTAAATTTTGTAAATTCAGTTCATACAACTCATGAAATTCAACATGAGGTGAAGAGATAATAGAACAATTATTTTAAATGACAATTTTGACATGTAATGATATAAAAAGATAGATAACTTATGCCAAATAAAAATATTAAACTATCTGATGCAGACACCATGACTTCCTTGCATGGCCTATTAAATTATACACATTTTTTGCTGCATTTCCTTTAAACTTATTTCCTTGAATTTCATTAGAGATACATTTCTCATTCAATCAAGTGAGTTCTAATTTTGTGGCAAGGCAAAAATACATAAAAACTCAAAACATCTTCATTAAAAATTGTAAAATACAGAAAACCTAAAACACAAAATACAGTTAAAAACACTTTAAAAAATATTTACAATTAAAATTAGAATTTCTATCTCAAAACAAACAAACATAATTCAACCATTTTTAAAGCAAAAAATACACAATTTACCAACATATAAGGATAAAAACAATGAGCTCAAGAGGCAAGTAGCAGGGTGAAAATATATATATGTATGTAAAATAAAAAAATATGGAATTCGGAACCTAATTTCGAGAATTAAAACTTTTCTCTTAATAAGCAACCTAAATCAAAACCTTTTCTTGGTCAGCTTCCCCCATACTGGATTTAACTCGGCACTTTTGCTTCTACCACTACTGCCGCTTGGATGCTATTTCATTCTGTTCTCTTCCTATCACAACAGTATCAAAAATGTAAATGTTCTTGAATAGGCATGATTAGATTGCCAAGTAAATTGGGCCTGCAAATGCCAATTGAAATAAAGTTGGATATTTAATCTTAATCTGCTTCCAAGTTTTCTCTTCAATAGGGATCTACGTTCTACAACATCGACATTGCTATGTCTTTTCATTACCGCTCTCTCTACATATATATGTTTGGTGTAGCCGATTGGCAATGAAAAAAGGGAAATGTACATGTTATAACAGTTCCATATACAAAATTTCAACATTCTACGGCTACTCATTTTGAATTAATGCAAGCTACATATGTATGTACCTATAAACATCAAGAAAAAAAAAAAAAAAACTCTTCTGAATCCATTTTAAACCCATTTTAGAACAAAAAGAGGCTTTATTCTGTCTGTATGTTAAAATGTCATGCAAAATAATCATTCAAATGGATACGAGAGCGGCAAAATGGCCGCTTTCATTCATATGATACCTGGAATATTTTAAAATTACAATACTTCCTTTACTTCATACGAGGAAGTTAAAAGAAAAAAAAAAAAAAAAACTTGGTTTAGCGTCTATTTAAGGAAAAAAAAAAGGCGTAAATTTGACGAAGAAAGCTTTTTCTCTTTTTCTCAGTAGTAAGCAACTACGGTACTTACGTATTAGCGCAAATACCTCAGGTCGCTCCCAAATTTTCAGAATATGCCAAACTGCCAAGCATGCAAAATTCTTCAGTTTTACCATTGGCGCAATTTCTGTATGCGTCTTTTGTTGTATTTCAAATCCCATTGAGCTTTTTTAATAAAATAATGATATTGTTAATCTTCAACTCAATTATAAAATTTGTTCTCGTGGAACTTGCCTGCAATGAAAGAAATTGCAGTAAAATTTCTGCAAAAATATAGCATTTTGCCATGAAATCAAAAAACGCTTTGAATCTATTCTAAAGCGATCACTACTGAATTTCCATCAATATAAAAAAAAAAAAAAAAAAAAAAAAAAAAAAAAAACAAGTAAGTAGGTTCAGTGATTGATTTTCAGGATAAATACCTAATTATAATGTAAAATATGTGTGTAAATATATATATATATCCGTAATAAATAATATTTTACGTAGGTAAGAAGGCATTAATTCTTTTTCTTCAGTAAAAAATCGCCAAACTCTGCTAGGTGGTTGCGTTAACACATGAGCATCGTAATACACCAAGCATTTTATTATCAAAGCTATACCAATTTATGCTCTCCATCCCAATATTTTATGGAAAATATTTTAATTCATAATTATATATTTTGTCATATATATATATATATATATATATATATATATTCATATATTTTAAGCTGTAAAATAAAATAATTATCTCCTTAATATCCACCAAGAAACATGGCCAATAGCAGATTTGTTCTTCAAACTATAAAATGTAATTTTCAGCAAAATATTCCACAGGTGGGATATATTTAAGTGGGAAATTTCATTCCAAAATTCTTACTGTTTTTCAACTGAAATTTAAAAAAAAAATTCGAAATGTACTAATCAGTTCTATCTTGATTTATAATTAAAGAGGGTACTTTTGTACTTTTCCACTGACCATTTTCAAGAAGCAAAAACTACTGCCAGGCAATGAGATTTAATGCCATGACATCTCAACACTCACATAAGATCTTTACTTCGGTTTTACACAATCACATTTCTCAGTAAGCCAGTTTAGTTTCTGTAAAGAAGGATGTATGTTCACTGCTGTTTCTTTTCGAGGAGAAGATATTACAATTTTGCACCTGCTATTTTCAAATCACAAGTCTTATACTAGTGCAAATTTGAAAGAGTGCGATTTGACAAAATGATGCAGAAAACACTGTGCAACCGCACGATACCAATTCTTATTTATAGAATTTACCTTGCACCTAGTTCATGAACAAGATAATTCTTTTGTTGCTACTTTAATGGCAAAATAATTTTAATGTTTATTTACATGAAAAATTTCAAACTGCAGCTAACTGTGGTTGCTGAAAATTCTAACAGTGTTTTAGCTTGGTATTTCTTTATAAATGTAAAGAAGTTCAAGAGTGGAGAGAAAAAACTTTGATTAGCGGAGATATCAAAATCAAAAAAGGCCAAAACCATCACAATAAAATTAATAAAACTCGCTTCATGGAATCAACAGTCATGAATGAACGGTTATAACTACAGTACAAAGTCTTTAATCTGGACATCCATAATCCGGATCTCAAAGCTACAAACTTTCTGTGCATATGCATTTACGCATGAGCATAATACCTTTGCACATGCACATAATACGTTTACCCATGCGTGTTTAATGTATAACAGACAGTATAAACTAGGCTAAAATTATCTAATTATCTATTTCATTATTTTGCCATTAAAGTAGCAACAAAAGAATCATCTTGTTTATGAACTAGGTGCAAGGTAAATTCTATAAATATGAATTGGTATTGTGCAGTTGCACAGTGTTTTCTGCACCATTTTGTCAAATCGCAGTCTTTCAAATTTGCACTAGTATAAGACCTGTGATTTGATAATAGCAGGTGCAAAATTGTAATATCTTCTCCTCGCAAAAAATGCACAGTAAGAAAAGAAACAGCGGTAAACATATATCCTTCTTTACAGAAACTAAACTGGCTTACTGAGAAATGTGATTGTGTAAAACCAAAGTAAAGATCTTATGTGAGTGTTGAGATGTCATGGCATTAAATCTTAGACCCTACATTACTATACAAAAAATGCATGTTTTAGTACGCTCCATCACTCATCCAAGTTTGCCCCATGATCTATGAAACACCCTGTATAATACCTTTTTTTATTTCTTTAGTTTATATTAAGTATATGAAATGTATTTGTATTCAATTAAAAAAAAAAAAAACGATGAAAATGTGTTTATGGACAAAATCAACACAAAGTGCTTCTTTGCAGCAATACAGTATTCACAATAAATGTTCTAAAAAGGGAACACTAACAGTAATAGAAACTACAGCTGTGATTGGTTGGGCAATGCAGCGGTAGAAAGCGGTAGTGAGCCAGACAAACCACGATCCGATGCATCAGAGGGTCATTGCATCGTCATTCGCAACTCTGATGTTGAGCGTGATGGGCGAGATTACACACACAGGGAAAAAAGCTGGACATGCATCTCCTGTATGGCGCTGCTAATGGGAACGGCAGAGCAGCGCTACGATTATACCAAGAACAGTTTTGGAACAGGCATATGCCGAAACACACAATGTTCGAGAGGTTGCATCGGTCTCTGTGTGAAAATGGATCATTTGAAGCCACCTCTGACACTAGGAGTGGAAGAAGAAGTGCACAACAACCTCGCATTGAAGAATCCATCTTGAACATTGTGCATGAATCACCTCGGACAAGTACAAGAGCTATTGCACATCGTCTGCAGCTGAGTCATTCCACTGTTTGGAGAGTATATTGCATGAAAATGGTTTTCATTTGCAGAGAGTCCAAGCCTTGCAAGAGACAGATTACCCGCTTCGAGTTCATTTCTGTCATTGGTTCTTGCAGCAGTGTGCGATGCAGGCGAATTTCCCATCGGATGTGCTATTCACGGACGAGGCAACTTTCTCACAATACGGCATATCTTCAACAGCTACAACATGCACATGTGGGCAACTCATAATCCACATGAATTCCAAACCCGCTCCGCGAATGTGTGGGCGGGTATTGTTAACGACTACCTCATAGACCCATACCTCTTACCTGCACGTACAAATGGCTTATGTTATCATATTTTTCTGCAAGAGGTGCTACCATAATTGCTGCAGGATGTTCCGGCTGTCGTGATAGCATGTGGTTCCAGCATGATGGTGCACCAGCCCATAACCATGTGCGGGTCCGCAATTACTTGGATGGGACATTTCCGGGCCGATGGATTGGCCGTGGTGGACCCATTCAATGGCTACCCCGTTTGCCAGATTTATCCAGCTTGGATTTTTTTAATGGGGCCATCTGAACAGCATCATTTACAAGAATCCCGTTGACTCACTGGAGGACGTCGTTGCATGACTATCCATTGCGGCTGCAAGCGTGTGCAAAATATGCCTGTCATTTTTCAAAATGTTTGTCAATCCCTGTGACGTTACCAAGCACATATTACTGCTGGTGGACGTAATTTTGAACATTTATTTGTGAATATTGTATTGCTACAAAGAAGCACTTTGCGTTGATTTTGTACATTTTCCACATTTTCCTCTCGTGTCTTTTTTTGCGTCCAGCCTTAACCCGTCATTTTAGACCCTACATTCCTATAAATAAAATGCATGTTTTAGTACGCTCCACCACCCCTCCAAGTTTGTCCCACGATCTATGAAACACCCTGTATTTAATGATTTATCACTTGTACTCGGCTAATATAAAAGAGCCTGCATTTTATGCAAAATTAGTGGATTGGTATACAAACCAGCTCCTGTAATTTAGCTTGACAAAAAGTTCTAAGTTAAGTTTAATGGGATCTCTGCTAACTTTTATGTTCAACATGAAAATATGCAAGCACCTTATGAAGATGCCATAAAGATACCATATTTAAAATATTTTCATGGATTAGATAAAGAAATTATGACACAAGATGAGAAGCCCATGAGGTCTATATGCCTAAAGTTACGACACTGAATATGAATGGTTAATGGCTTAAGCAATGCAGTTATAAAAAACTAACCATCTGAAAGAAATTGGTTTATTCTACAAATGGGGGAAAAACATATAAAATTCGTTCAAACAATGTGTTTAAATGGCAAATGAGAAAACTCTCAAAAAGCTTTTCATCATATTGATCTGATGAAATATATCAAGAGATTTAAAAAGTGATACTTTCTGATTATCTCTGCCCCCACCGAAAAATCGTGAAAAAGTACTGATGAGTTAATGCACCACGTTGCCAAAAATTATTTAAGCAACAACCCACAATATGACAGCCGCACATAACATATGCTCGAGTTCACGAAGATTTTTAATTTTAAAATTCAAGTCATTTTTTACATTCAGTACATTTGTTTTTGGCATTATAAACTGCAATGGAACTGTGGAGTTTACACTCTCTTATTTTCATTATGTTGGATGTATGCTGAAGTTTCAAATGTTCTTGCACTATTGTGACTGTGGCCGATGCTCAATGCCAAAGTTGTGCAGTCCTCTGATTTTTATTATTTTTTTTTAGCGAAAACAAATTACAAAACATGAACAGCAGCACAAAAACTTGAGAAGTACACATTTTTTTCTTAAGTCGACAACAGGCTCCCAACTTTTCAATAATCAGAAAGCACTTTAGTTTTCATACAGTCATAAAAAATAAATAAATAATATCCACTAAAATCAACAATGTATATATTTAGCATAATATAAACATACTAAGAAAGATATATTGTTAGAATTAATGTTTGAGATACACACACATGTGAAATAAGCAGTAAAAAGTAATAGCTTATATTTCAGCAAACTTTACTACTACAGTATAATGTTAACACTAACCTTGACCTGCAGTTTTCCTTTAGTTTTAACATTTTCTTGATGCAGTTGTCTACAAAATAAATTAGACACTTAATAACATTCTATACAATACTCATTTTTCTTACATTTATAAATGCAAAACATCGAAAAATTCTCAAATGAGATTTAGTAATAATACCTATATGAATAATATTAAAGCATTTTTACTTCTACACTTAGTTAAAATTTATCATATTGGGAATTTTTCCTATTAATTTAAATACCTATGCTTACTACAATATGTAATGGACACATTCATTATTTAAGCTTCATACAATCTTTTACATTTAGTTGGCTATAAAGATAAGATATCGTGCACACACCTCACTCACACTACCATTGCTATGGTGACAAGCAAAACCAGAATAATTTGTAAACAAATTAAGCAAAATAGAAATACTAGAGACTAAGAAAATAGTAGAAATGAGCGATTTTAATCACTGGTCAGCTCCAATAATGAGCTGCTATATCATGGAAAATCAATGTATATATTTTTGTTATAAATGCACTTTATAAGGGTTACTGAAATCAGTGGCAAAATTAGCGGTAAATTATCAGAAACTAGACAAAAAATAACAAGTCGGAAACTAGAAGCAAAATGGTGAATCTTTACATTATGGTAACTTGGCGATATTTTGGCAAAAATTTGCCGACCAACCCTGCTACAGCAACCTGCTACTTTTGTTTTGGACGCCATTTTGTTTTCACGAAGTAATGGCATTTTTTTTTTTTTATTCAACAATTTTCCAACAATCTGCTAGCTGAATTACGTTTATACTAGAACTTTTATGGAACAAAAATTCTTAATCATGACGAAGATTAGGTGTGAAATTGGGAGAAAGTGCAGAATCGCAAACTGCTTGCCGCGTTTTTAAGAATTGCACATACACGGTATCCATGCACACATTGATCTACTTTCACTTAAAAAAACATCTCAGAATTGCACAAAAATGGCATTGCACACACTCTTGACTTTAGCAATGTACACATCAACCTATTTTCACTTAAAAAGTCAAAGAAAATTGACAAAAATTCAATTCTTCTTGTAAAAAGCACCAAACAAATAAGTGGGCGATTCTGCACTTTAGCAGCGAAATCATTTCCAAGTGCTTATTAGCTAAAATCACGATCGGAATTTTCCAGAAAATGTCACATTATATGTCTCATAATCTTTCATTTCTCCGAGACAAAATAATCTGTCATTCGAACTGTGTACTTCTCAGACTATTGCTAAAGTCCTAGCTAGTAACCTTTATCGTCTTACCAAAATGTCACCAAACTACCTGTTACCATATTCTAAAGATAAGCCTGCAAAATTATTAAAATGCGCAGATTCAGTTACAAGCATATAGGTATCCAAATACACCAAATATCTCTATGTGATCACATATGCATTCATTTACCAATAGCTAAATTTTATTTAACAGCATGTTTATAATTTAATCTTAAAATCCAATCTATAAAATTATGTTTTACTAACAAACTGCATAAAAACGGACATTATCGACAGTTTTAGTAACCACAGTAAAGTATCAGATCCAGACATCCAATATCTGGAATGATCTAAAATCTAAACTGCAAAGCCACTAACACTTTTTTTTTATTAATATATACTTTACACATGTGCATTAGATTTGTCCTGCCCCAGAAAACATATGAAGAGTCGCAATTCTTAATTTCACTTCGGCACTAAATAAAATACCCCATTATCAAAAAAAAAAAAAAAAAAAAAAAAAAAAAAAAAAAAAAAAAACCAATCATTTTAGTATAATCTGTGTGATCCGTAGCTTCGTAGCTACATATCTGTTTGGCATACATCTCAAACCAAAATCTTCTTTGTTGATTTTACACCTATTAATATTTTATATTCTTAATGCTAACCTGGCCAATCATTATTTACTCTATTTTACTTTCATTGCTGCATGTTTATAAACACATAACAACTTGAGTAATGACTCACGCAGCGATGCCAAAACAATTTCTTTCATATTATTAATTGAATAACAAAGAGTATAGTAACCTTTTATGTTGACATTAAGCTTGCCGATGATTACAGATTTAAGTTAAATGCGGTAAGAAATGTTGACAAAGAAAAATTTAACAAAAATTTCTTTCCATGTACTAAAAATAGATTTTATTAATGATACTCATAAGCCAAAAGATTACATTTAGTGCTATTTGAATTAAGAATAACTGATTTGTTATTCACATAAACCCAGAACCGGCACCAGAACTTGTATGGCTGCAATGGATGGCAGAATTTTGTGAAGACAAAATTTGGAAATTTAGAGAGGCATCAAACAAAAAACATTTTAGAATTTAGGGAAAGTACTGGCACCCAGAATTTAGGGACAGCAAAAATTTAGAACTTAATGAGTGCCTGGTAGCAGAATTTAAGACCTGCAGAAAGAAAAGAAATAGACACAAGTATAATAAATAACTAAACTAATACAATTCAGGCTTAACTGTCTCAGTGTGCAATAGAAGGAAGACAAAACGTTTAGTGTCTTGTCTTTCATCAAAACTTGTCCTTCGTCACCAATCTCATGATACATAGCTAATAATGTATAGCACAATTAAACTTCAATTATGTCAAAAAGCGTTTCTAATTCTGGAGCTGCAACAGGATCTACAAAGCAAAAGTATGTTTCGATGTCCAGTAAACAAAAAGTGGAATTTCTGCAAAAAATAGATAAAGGTACATCTGTCTCAAAATTATGTGAGGAATACGGCATGTATATAAGAATACAGCATGCACAAATGCTGCAGGAACACACAAGTGTAAACTTTTTGCAATCAGAAAAAATACACAACCTCGAACATTTAAAGGAAAACAGAAAACAGATAAATAAAACATGGATAAACACACAGAATGGTAAATAAACGTGCAAATACAACAGCATGGATGACAGAAGTGTTGATGAATAATTAGTTTGAAAATCAATTCATACCCGAGGCTTGGCAAATTTTAATTCGTTTGGTTTACATGATGACACAAAAACTGTCCTGATTGAAGACAATTCTACAACTCATATTTCACTTAAAGTTTTAGTGAAAGATAATGCATCCATATTATTCTTTCCTCCAAATTGCACATTCATCATTCAGCCAATGGATATCAGAATAGCGTGTCTATTGAAATGCAAACATAAAGTAGCATTTTTAAAATCTATGTTAAATTTCTTGAATAATGGCAAGACTATTTAAGAATTTCTGAGATATTTAAGCATAAAATCTGCTATGTGGAATATTGCAAGATCGTGAAAGGATGCATGTCCAAATACTTTGAAAATTGCTTGGTATAATTTATGGCCAGCAACCATATTTCATGGTGAGAATGGTGAAGAGGATAGCCATGAAGATTTTCAGATATTGCAAACCAAAGGTGAAATTTTCCAATTAATTGATTTTATAAAGAAACATAGAGAAGTAGTAGTAAACGAATATGATATAACAGAAATTTTTTATGAAGAAAGTGACAGATTATTAAAAACAAAAAAATTTTGATTAATAAGCTTGAATTCTTGATACAGCAATTACAGGACTTGAACAATGGGACTTTGTAACTGAAAAATAAATTATGCCTGTCTACAGAATTAAAGAGAAAGTATTAGTGCAAAAGAACAAAGCAAACAGATATATATTAAATGTTTTTTGGTAACATTTGATGCCCTTTAGATTATAAATGCTTCATTATTTCTTAAATCACGATTTCATATTTTTAATTTTATAATTTCTATATCCCATCCTACTAGTTTTAAACTGATGACTTAATATCCAGAAAAATCCCAAATCCAGAATAGTCGGGCGAGTTCGGATCTCGGATTTTGAATTGTATATTCATAAGGAGATAATACAGTGCTTCTCAAGATAGAGTAATTCTAAAATTGTGTTTCACATGAACCAAACATTTTAATGAAGCAAGTATAAAACAAAAATAAATTCTAGGATGAATTTAAAGTGCAACATATAAAAAAAATTTAGAACTCTTTTGATTGGAATATTGACATCAAACATCATCTTATTGTGCAATTTGACCACCATTTATTAGATTATTTCAACTCAGAGATGAGAACTGAAGGAAATACCAAACTGCATAGTTTCCTTTCATAAGCTTAAAATTGGATTTGATTCCATATAGTATGTGAAAAATATCAATGATCTAGAATTGATAGAATTTTAAAAAATTATACCAGATTTAAATTTTATTTAGAAACATTTTGAAATTCATTAATCATCTGCATTATGTCGTTCCCCTTTTGAAATTAAATAGATTATATAAACGAGGGAAAAAAATCAGTATTTAGAGGCAACACCAATTATTGAATGATTCCAGACCAAATATGCAACTCAAATGGAAGTATCAGTTAAGTTCTATCCAAGTTCTAGTAAGTTCAGTCTTGGATATCAGAATGCTGCACATACTGAATTGCAGGTATAAAATAGCCTTTGTAAAATTTATGTTAAATTTTCTGAATGAGGACAAGACAATGCCAGAATTTTTTGAAATATTTCAATATAAAACTGGCTTTGTGGAGAACATTGCAAGGTTATGGGAGAGTGTGTCCGAAAAAACAGACATAATGCTTCATAAAATTTATGGCCAGCTGCTAGTCTATTGCTATATTTTCTGATGATGATGATAACCACAAATTTGACAATATTCGGATATCACATGCAAAAGGCAAGGAATTTCTGATCTGGATTAACCATGCTTAGGGTATCAATATTTAATAAATATATTTAATAAATACATAAATAAATACAGTACAAAGTCCGTAATCCGGACTCGTCGGGACTTCAGCGATTCCGGATTAGGGGTTTTTCTGGATTATAGATCATCAATTTAAATTTGGTAAGATGGCATGCAGAAATTATACAATTAAAAATATGAAACCATAATTTATGAAATAAAGAGCAGTTATGATCTAAAGGGTATCAAAATTTAAAAAAAAGCTTATTATATATTTATTTACTTTATTAAACATTTCTTTCAATGTAAGTTGTTTAGTTTTTTGTGCTAATACTTTC